TGCAAGATTATACACTTAATCCTCAAATTTTGTAACTATATCATCATTTTTATTGATTAGCAAAAACAAGCTTTAACTTACGAGGAGCAAGCCCATTTCCTAATAATCCATCAAATATATTCGTTCTAAAGAAATGAATGCTTTCTTTCTTTTCTCCCCTCCTCTGAGAATTTCATTTGTCCAATGAAGTTCTTTTTTAACTTTTTTTTTAAAAAAAAAAAAAAATTGTGAATGCTTGCTTGCATAGATTAAATTAGAAATTATATGTTGCTTTGTTTGTATGCTCAGCTGGTTTCTTTATACATTTTAAAGACTGGCAAAGTTGATTGATTGATTTTTTTTTATATTTTTTTTTATCAATTGTGTCTCTGGTGCCATTTTCTTCAACATCATTAATGGAAAGCCAAGAGATATAATCTTAGCTTCAAGATGTCTTAGACGAGGAGAGCCTCATTTTCCATTCCTTCTCTTTTCCTCCTCATTAGTAAGGTGGATTGTGTGTGTCTGTTCGAGGCCTTGAGGTGCAAAGTACAGTGACTCAAGGCTTCTTTATCAATTGAAAAAAAAAACGAAATTTCCTAACCCTAAATGCTTAAGTCGTTTTCATAATCACACACACACACACACACAGAAAAAAAAAAGTTTGTACCACACTTAAGCTCTAGAAGGCTACTATAATGCTTTAGAAAACACTATGGACCTTATTTTATGGATGTAAGGGACAGATCCACAAGGAAACTTATTCCTTAGTTGCCTCCTTGCCAACAAATATTGGTCCTATGCGCGCACACACACACATATTTTTTTAAGAAACTGAACGTTCATGGTGAGTAATGAAAGAAATACAAGGGCAGATAAAAATCCAACCCAACAAAAAGGAAGCCCCCACAACCAACCAAGGATTCTAATCCAACAAAATCAAACCAATATCATAATTACAAAAAAGTCTAGTGACCGACGATAGCAAGGAGGCATTAAACCTTGTCATTTCCCAAATCTCGTCACAAGACCCTAAAGACTCTATTATTCCTCTCAATAAATTTCATCAAAATTGCAAAGAAACTAGCATGCCTCAAAACTTTACCTTTACCGGTACTATATTCTATCCTCCTTCAGATGTCACATAGCAACAAATTGACAACTGCCGACTGCTGAGTGTGTTTTTCTGAAAATGGGGTTTCAAATTAAAATTTAAACTCATTTGCATTGCAGGATTTTCTCATTTGAGCTACTTGAAGTTTTATACTATTTTACTTAGTTGTTTAATCTACAAGTTATTCGGATGAATGAATTTTTGAAAGAAGTTTGGATGGATTTTTTCATTCTCATAATTAATCCTCTTTTTATTTATATCAATATGAAAGTATAATGTAGTCAATCAATTTATACTTGAAAGAACAGTTGATGATTTGTAGATAAACAATGACTTACGAAAATATTGAAGAAACCTATAAGAAGTGCAAATTATTGTTTGTGTTTCTTGTTGTTCTTGTTTCTAATTGTCTTTAGATGTCAGTTTTCTGAGTCAGAAACATTTTTTGTATTTAAAAATAATATTAATTTTTAAATATAGCTTCTGTACAACGCCATGGTCAAGGTCCTAAGTTTTCATGCCGTGTTTCACGATGTGATATCTCCTATTGTTCCCTTTTGTTTCAAGCAAAACAAACTGAGATATAAAGTTCGTATTGATTTTCAAGAGAGGAAAATTTCTATTGTCTTGTATCGTTCAGTCCAAGATTTAAGGGGTAAATTTCTACAGATAAAAGAAATACAACTAAAAGCCAAATAAAGGGGAACCCAACGGGACAAAAAAGAAGACAAGGGAATGAACAAAAGTTAAAGAAATAATTAAGGGAACAAAATACAAGGGAGGAAGGTCTATACGTCGGGTCTTCGGCAATACTGATAGTGGCTTGGTTATCACAGTAGTCTTCCATTGGTGCCTCTGATGTTACTCTTAGTTAAGATCAGATTCTTTGGATCCACATTCTTTTACATATTCCTTGTGTGAGCTCTTAATCAGGTTCAACATTGCTTCTTGATAATGAGTTGTTTTTTACTCTGCCATATTACTAGGTTGCCCCACACAAAGGTGCAATAGGTGGCAGTTGATCTTCGATTTACTTTTGAATTTGCCGAATCAACATCTGTGAAGACTTCATCTTTCTTCTTGTTGACTTATTGAGATATAGTCTTTCTCCAGGCATTCCTTTTAAGTATCTTAGAATCATGTAGACTGTTTGCGTATGTTCTATGGTTGGATTGTTCATAAATTAGTCTACATAGCTAACTGCCTGCAAAATGTGTCTCAGGTATAGTATCAAAGAACCTTGAGATGCTAATCCACGAAAAATGGTACAAAAAATTCAAAAGAACAAAAGAACTGTTAAGTTTGCCGCTAATGCTACTTCAATGAATTATGAAAGACCCACAAGAATTAGCCTTGAACAGTTCCTTTGTGAAAATGTATGCAGCCAAACAAAGACTACACCTAAAATCAAGTGAAATTCGAATTGTTCTAGTGGATCTAGTAGCTTAGTAATTACCTTAGCTTGTCTTTAGTAATTACTAAGCTAATTGAGCGTTATTCCATAGAGATCTCAACCTGGCTGTGAATGAGATTTCCAACTAGTCTCTGATATTTCTCTTTGTTGCCATAGTATTTTCGTTTCCAAAGTTGTAATTAGGATCAATTGGAGTACTGGTAGGTTTACACCCAAGCATTCCAATTTTCTTGAGAAGGTCAAGAATATTTTTTTCTTTGAGAGATACCCAACTCTTTCCTTGAGCGAGCCACTTCAATGCCTAGGAAGTATTTTAGAGGTCCTAGATCTTTTACTTTGAACCTTTTCCCTCTCCCGTTCTTTCTTGATTTTGCAGGGTAGATTTTAATGTTACTAGATGGTCTCATGAGAAATCTACTTCCAGCTCCAACTAGAAGCATGGAAATTTCAGCCAATTCATTGAATATGCTAGCCTCATTGATATGCTAGCTCTTCCCAAATGGTTGATTTACTTGGTCTTGTAATCGTGCATCCTCCTATCACTCTTTGATAAACTTGTTATCTTACGACCCGACTTTCCGAACACGTACCAATTGGAGCCGTTACTTGAAAACAAGGCTTTTGTAAGGAAAAGATGTTTTGATACAAGTAAAACATGCTCAGGGTACCCTTTAAAATAACCTTTGGAAGGCATGCATTTAAAACAATTCAAACTAACACTACAAACTTTTGAAATGCACAATCAATTCACAATCTCCCTGATCCACGTAAACCAAGAGTTTTCAAATACAAACATATTAATGTGGAAGCATTTGAAAACATAAAAACACTGGAGTCAACTCATGGTCTGTTCTCTTCACCATATTTCACCCTACTCGACTTTCTTGCGCCATTCCAACACTTATTTAATCTAGAGTTATTTGCCTAACCCTAACAAAAAAAAAAAAAAAAAAAAAAAAACCTAAAAT